ATGAGAAGATGGTTCACAACCCCGCAGCTCCTTCCCCCTCGCACCCTATTCGCTAACTCAACCGCTTTATCAAACAGATAAAAAGCAGCACAACAAATAGGAAACCCAATGAAATGGCACAGCATGTATGGATGTAGATGTATTAGTGTAAACCATCCCAAAATTTCCACATTTAACGCGATTGGAGGAGACATGAACCACGATTTTGTGAGCTTTGACCACTCCAAGACTAGAACGCACATGTTTTAACGAGCTTCCGAAACGTTTGAAGGCGTTGGCGAAATGACCACGTAGTTTACGACTACGCCGAGAATTTTGTCAAAAAGCTCATAAAAGCTTCTAAACTAATTTGACGTATGCTCAAACTGAATATGAACGGTACCTGTTCAACTGAGCTCATCCATCTCCGAAATAGAAACGCTACCATGTTCCTCGAAGCCTTTAGATCATGAAATTGAGCTTCAAAAAGTCGGACCTGCAGGCAAAGTGAATGTGCAAGGTGGTCATTTAAGTGCTCCATTTCCAATTTTATACACCAGTGACAATACGCGATTGCGGTGCACATTGTTTTTTCGTCGACTCTCATGTCATCGTTTTCTTGTGCATCCAAAGCATTTCGTCCTCTATTCGGTCCTCTTCGCGTAGCTTTTTAGTGATAAGCTTTTTATGGATACTATTTTCGACTAGACTACGGACGGGTCATTGTGCTGATCTCTCACCCAAGTAATATGAGCTTGTTGCTGCGGTTCGCATGGCTTCCGTTTTCTCTATTGTACTTCTGGTGCTAACTTAGTTGGGGGGGCCACGCGGCGGCGCGGCAGTCTGCTCACCTGGGCTCTCTCGAGCGAGACAGTGTAAACTCGAACATTCCAGCTTTTCACGCATGTCAAGTGACTGCCCCACCCCCCACCCCCTAGACTGCCTACACTCCCCCTGGCCCACGGATTTCCCGAACATGCCAGGCGAGCAGACTGCCGCGCCGCCGCGTGCCCCCCCCAACTAAGTTAGCACCAACTTCTATACTGAAGAAACTTAACAGGCGATTCTTCAGCTATCCCCCTGATGTGTAAATTGGTAAACGAACGGGAATGGGGTTGTGGTAAGTGGCGCTGCTCAACACACGCGCGGTATGGGGATCGAATGCTGAGCCGTGCGTTCTCTGGGTCAAGGAAGATTCCAACCCTACGGTGTCGCTTAGTTGGTGCCAGACTTGCTTGGGAGGTTAAAAAAAAATGCTAACTTGTACATCGGCCGCCCACGCATGTCACTGGGTAGGTCATATCGCATTCACCTGTTCTGCACTGCGAATGTGAATAGGCAGGAGAATGCATGCCGCATACCGTCCGCCTAGAAAACAGGTACGTACTCCTGTGTTTCTCCCCCACTTCAAAGCTTATTTCTGAGGGTCTGAAGTAAACTTTTTTTCAAGAAGAAATCCTGGCGCTTAGGTCCTTAGGGGAGACATTCAGAGCAGGGCATTTAAAAACCGCTGGTAGGTGACACTAGGACTAAGCCCAGGAGAGGGAGAAACGCCAGGGAGAACAAGGTTGCTCACATCCTCTCCCAGAATTCCTTCCCCTCCCTAAGGCTTAGTCCCAAGTTCTGCAGTGGCTCACCACTTCAATGATCCCTCTAACGACATAAGCGCCGAAATCCCTATCCCTAAGCTTATGGTTATTCGTTGAGCTGTTCCACCACTACAAGTTAGTTTTCATTCTGTTTACTCAGATACCATGAATTTGCATAAAGCCGCGTGCGCTCCATAATTGAGGACGGGCTAAGGATAGCGTCAATACAGTTCAATGCGTTTCTCGCTGATCGCGTAAACTGGGGCAGCTAGATGCCCTAATTACAATCGGCCGCGCCTTCTAACGTCGGAGTCAGCGAAGGAGATCCGGAAATGAATCTTAAATAATGCAATCGAATGACGGGTTTAAGAAAAGCACCCGTTTTTTGATTAATGGTATGGGAACAATGGGGCGGAGAGCGCGCCCGCGTCAGTGGGATTAGTGCTTCAAAGGTGTATCATGATTGAGACAACCCAGACCCTATAAAAATTGGCGAACCAGACAAGATTGTCAATTTGATTAGATCCAAAATCGTGAAAAAGAAATGAGGGAAAAAGATACGAAGGGTAAATGTACATTCGTAGTGGCGTTTGAATGCGATGTGGCCTATACAATGACTTGCGGGGGCCAGCCGATGTACAAGTCAGTGTTTTTATCCTCCCAGACAAGTCTGGTACCAACCCCGGAGGGATGGAAGGCTTGGTTGGCCCGGGCGACTCACGACCCAGGATTTGATCCCCGGACCGCTCGCGTGGTAAGCGTGCCACTTGCCACTACACCACTCCACCCTCAGATTCTGCATTAGCAACAAAAATACAACTTTGAGTTTGTCAATGATTTGAATAGCAACGACTACTGGGTCTTATGAAGTGAGAAGGCACGTGGTATGGCAGCTCTGCTGCCTACGAAACTTTAGTTTTTTTTGCAGAGGAGAAAATCTTATGGATGCGTGATTCTTTTGAGTCCGCTCTAACATTATTGCGGAGCCCTTCCCATACGAGAAGTCGGATTACTTTTGGCTGTCGCATGAATTGAACATATGAACTGTGGCACCACATGCCCTTCTTTACACGATGGGACTACGACCTTCACTAGACTACAGTCAAGAGCTTTCTTGCTGCTTTGTGTGGCTGTGGTTCCTGATGGGCGCTGTTCTTCGTAACACCACGCAGTGAGCATAGATTTTTATTAGCAAAAGCAAGCTTTGTACGGTTTTTAAGGTTCGAGTCCGATTTGCACCAAGCCCAACTGGTCATCTTCACCTTGGAGGCTTGAGAACGGCATTGTACAACTTCTTGTTCGCTAAACACCACAAAGGATGTTTTATCCTCCGTATAGAAGACACTGATAGGGCGCGATTAGTTCCTGGCAGTGTCGGCAGCGTAAGTTTTGGAGCTGCAGGTATTTGCATATTGAAAGACAACAAAAGCTTACTCATTTCGTTGTAGATTGAACGCATTCTTGAGCACTATGGTTTACACTATGATGAAGGACCACGAAAGAGCGGGCCGTATGGACCTTATCAGCAGTCCGAAAGACTTGTGTTATATAAGAATGCTGTGGATCAGCTTATTGAGTCAGGGCATGCCTATCGGTGTTTTTGTTCCGAAGACGTGAGTTCACTCAGCTGTGTTCTTCTCTAGTCATTTTTGAAGCTAGTGTTTTAGCGTTTAGCGTTGCTTCGCAAGGACGCAGTGAGGCGAAATGAAGTGCCCAAATATGACAAGAAATGTCGGTCGGTAGATGGTAATGAATCTCGTTCACGTGCCGATGCTGGGGAACCATTTGTTGTTCGCTTGAAGCTGGACAAACAAAACGTCTCATTTGTGGTTGGTCTGATTATAAATACTTGTGTTTCGATTTGAAATGGTCACGAGAGGCAAGTTTTTCTAGTTGTTAATTCTTTTAGCTGTGGGGATGTGGGCCACTAGGACAAAACGACTTTTGTTTTTGTCCAAAGCTTGATCGCTGAGCGTGTCAAATAAAAGTTCATGACGTCTATATCTGAATTTATGTAGCGGTATGTCAAAACGTGGTTAGGCTATAAATATCTGTTACACATAACAACAGGTAAGGAATAGGGTCATAGAAGGGGTGGGTATGGTCAGGGTTGGACATCATCACTGCCGAGCTCCGGCTAGCCAACTCCAGCTCGACGATACCGTTATCCAGGCCACGCCCCGTCATCATGGACGTGGACCCGACATGGGACCCCAGGTCCACCAATGTCAGGGCCGTATTCTTTCCCTCCCCAGGTGGGAGTGTCCCTCGCCGCCGATTCTATCCTTATGTTGGGGAGACAGGGTTGCGTCATAAGACCCGCCATAACTTGACGTTTCTACCTTCTAAACAGAGCAGCGCGACCCCTAAGAGAAGAGTTCTTTAGCAGAGGAGGATAGCTACAATATCAACCGTTTAATGGCGGGTCCTATGCCCAACCCTGTCTCTCCGACCTCAGGATTGCATCGGCGACGGGGACGTTCCCCTTTGAGGGATAGGATACGGCCCAGAGGTGGACCTGGTGTACCAGAAAGTTGCGAAAGGCGAAAGGTCGCGTTCTAGCTAACGACGTACGCCGTAGCTGCGGTCATGTTTTCTATTTTAGCAGTGAGACGTGGATGGGTTTAAGAAGGAATACTAGTTACTAACGTAGTTGGAGGAGGCCACGCGGCGGCACGTCGCTCAGTTTGTCTGCGCCTCTAAGGCTTAGTCTTTGTTGCTGCCGCGAAACTGCCATGTTGCGTAAAAATGGTAACGTCCAAGGACTAGGCCTTGTGATCCAAAAAGATAGAACTAAGGCCTTGTGATGTAAGACGAACCTGCGAATGCGCGAGAGCCCGCCGCCGCTTCCCACTGCATAGCGCGGAATATCTGCAACGTTATTTTAGAAAGAAGAGACTGTCCAAAAACCCAAAACGCTGGAAATGCTTACCAAGCAAGCTTGTCATGTTGTCATGTCCTTCGTATAGATGTCAGTAGCTATCAAACAGGAGGTACTGACATAAGCATGATATTTAGGACGAAATATTTGGTTCAGTGGACCAGTGCATCGACGAGAGTGACATGGTGTTGCTTAAAAGTGACGGGTTTCCCACCTATCATCTCGCTAACATAGTGGATGATCGGGCTATGCACATCTCTCACGTCATTCGTGGTATGGAGTGGTTAAGCAGTACGGGTAAACACTGTGCTTACTGTACTAAGTAATTAACTACGTAAGCTCAGTTAAAAGTGAGTTGGAAGATGCCAAAAGTGAGTTGGAAATGCGCAACGAAGTTGCTTAGCTACGAAGTTACAGGGCATTTGGATGGCCAACACCGAAATGGCTTCACCTCCCTCTCATAACTCGAGATGGCAAGAAGAAACTCTCTAAAAGGGATAAGGATGCATTCGTTGACTTTTATGAGCAAGAGCTCGGTGCACTCCCGAAAGCCGTTTTGAATTTACTGGTATGTGGAGAACATTAGTCAGCCCCCGCTACTGCGTAATGAATTTCCCATCTTCACTTTTATGCAGATTCGAAACGGCAGTGGTATTCGTGACTTCAGCAGCTCTCACCTCTATAGTCTTGATGAGATGATTGCAAATTTTGACGAACGCTGCATCGGAAAACGTAACTTGCAGGTGATTATACGAAAATAGATCCGCGTTTCATGAGAAACCTATTTCCATTTTTTTTCAGCTCGATCATGAGACTTTGGAAAGGTATGGCCGTATGGCTTTTACTGAGTCAGATTTTGAGACCGAATTATTGCCGACAGTACGCCGGCTGATTGAGCATGACTTGCCATCCATACAAGTCCCAGATGATGTTTATCTTAAGAAGGTGAGGCTAAGCACAACTTCTTTACACAGAAGGAAAAGATTCGTAGTTCAGGTATTGAGTTTCCTGAAAGCCAATGAAGAAAGCTTTGCGTTTTTGTCATCATTAACAAAAGGCGATTTCCGATGGTTTCTAACCAAGCCCATGGCAGCTGAACGTCTTTTGTCGGTGACAGACCGAGAAACGGCTCTGGAGACTCTAACGTATTTGCAAGAATGCGGTAAGTCTAATAAATTGATCTAAGTTAGTGAAGAGCTAAATTGCTTTCACCACTTGTGAGGTTTGAAATAGTGCATGGCGCTAATTGCCGTGAACGAAAGCAACGCAATCAAGGGATGATGAGGGCGCTCGCTGCGTCTACATCGTTCATGTTTGGTTTTGCTCGGTGTTTGTTGGTCATTCATAGCTGAATTCCATGAATCGCCACTTCCACAGTTGGGTAGTCTACCTGATCCTGGGTCTCTAACCACTCGATTCCGTATTCCGTACACTTCGTAGAACTCACGATGCCAGCCGCTATGAACACTACCTGATGGTTAAGGTGAACACGAGGTTGGCAGTTGCACCCGGCAACTCTCTTTTTTCTCAGGGTATAATTCAGGATCATGCAAACCAGTCCTAAGACGGTTTCTGCTCATGGACCCTTTCCATTCGCTGCCGAAGTCAAAAATTGGAGCCAAGAG